GGAGAGGAAGATATGGGTGGGTGTTATGCGTTTACGTGTGTATTGAGTATGTATGCTTTTCTTTGGAATATATTTTACCTTTGGAATATGTCTGAGTTTATCTAAAGCTTTGTTTTGAAACGTTTGGTTGGAGTGGAAATAAGTTTGTGACGTTGGTGACATCGGGGGAGGGAATAAGTTTTAAAAAGTGTTCTAAATTTAATTGTTGATCTCATGTGATAATTTTTTTGGGAGGAAGATATGGGTTAGTGGTTATTATGCCTTTATGTGTTTGGTATTGTGACATTGGATGGGTATATGTGACATTGGGTTATAAGTTTATGTGTTTGGTATTGTAACAAAAAGGGGCGGGTTTGTGGCATTTGATGTATTTGGTATTTATTATGCATTTCGTTGTTGTGTTTACTATCATGTTAGTTAGTTTAGTTTATTGGTTTGATTTTATTTATTCATGTAGAATCTACTTTTATACTTATACTACAAAAATAATTGATACAATTCTTTGTGCAGGATTGATGCTACAAGGATGGTGGAGGCTTGGACGTTGGAGAGGATTATTTCGTTAGATGCTTGACGTTATTTTTCTTTTGTACTCTAATTTTATAATAACACACTTTGCAATGTTATGAATGATAAAATTGTTCAAAGATATTTGCTATATTTTGAAAATTTAGCAAAAAATTTTAAGGTCAAATTTTGTTATTATGGAAAAAGTATATTAAACAAATTTTGGATGAGAAATAAAGAAAACAATGAAATGCATTGTTTTGGTCGTGAAAATTTAGGATTGAGATTTAGGATTGAAATGTTAAAATATTTGTATGGAAATCGTGAAAATTTAGGATTGAAATTTAGGATTGAAATTTAGAATTGAAATTTAGCATTGAAATTAGGAAAGAAGAAAACAATGAAATAATATTATTAATACAAAAAAACAAAAGCGACGAATAACAAGGCGACGAAACGTTTTGGTCGCTTTACTAGTGACGAAACGTGTTTCGTCGCCTGCCAAGAGAGGGGGCGACGAAACCCTGCTTTCGTCGCTTCGCTGGCGACGAAAAACGTTTCGTTGCTAATTGAGCGACGAAATGAAAACGTCGCTTAGGCGACATTTTACTGTTTCGTCGCTGAAACCGTTCAGCGACACGGAATCAGCGACGAAACTAGCGACATAGTCCGTTTCGTCGCTAAAAAGTATCAGCGACGAAATTTAGGCTTCAGCGACTAAAAATTTTCGTCGCTGAATGTCTAGAATTTTGTTGTGATTCATCAAAAAGGATATGCCTAGAGATATAAAGCCGACTAGATTGAGATAAGCACTTATATTCTTTGTGCAAATTGCTAATCTAAGAAACAAACAAGGAGTAGACCTTGGCTGAATTTAAAGGTTATTATAGGATCTTAAGGAGGGAAAACAGACATATCCAACCACTTAAAGAAATTGATAATCAGGTTTAAATTTAAAAAGAAACTCTATTGGAGATACCGTAGTAGGCAAATTGTTGATTAAGTAAACCGATGGAGAGAAGGCACCATCCCAAAATTCAAGAGGCAACAAGGACAGAGAAATGACAGTCAAACCCATATTAACAATTTGAGATACCATTCTACTGTGATGTGTATGGACAAGTAACACGATGTTCAATGACATTGGATTGGAGAAAAGGAAGAAAAGAACGAAATTCCCCAACCCCATCTGTCTGTAAACGAAGAATAGAGCAACCTAAATCTTTTCTACTTGAATTTTGAAAGTGAGAAAGGCTTTGAAAGCATTAGATTTATTTTGAAGAAAATAAATCCAGGTATATCTTGAATATACATCTACAAAGTTAATCCAATACTTGTAAGTCATTTCTTGATGATTTGAAAGACAGGCCCCAAACATCAGCCTCAACAAGTTGGAGAAAAGCATAAATACTATGTTTTGAAGGAGAGAGGAAGATTATGACCTTTGCCAATTGCGCAAGCATGACAAAGAGAATTTTTATTAGACTTAGCAGGAATATTACAAGCATGAAGAATATGATTGACAATAGCATTACGAGAATGGCCTAATCTACGATGCCAAGTCTCAAAAATTGAAGAATTACAAGTATTAGAACTGAAAGTCATATGAGATACCGATGCATTATTCATAGATGGAGCAGAATGGTGATTAGAAGATGTTGAAGAGAGAGTACGAGGAACGGAGTTGGGATGAGCCTTTTCCAACACAAACTGATATAACCCTTTATACACACCTTCCTTTGAAGTTGAGTTTGGTCAGTTGAAATATCCTTCACAAAACAAACATGGGGATGAAACTGAAAAAAGGCATGGTTATCTTGAGCAAACTGACGCACACTAATAAGTTTATTTTTTTTGTAATTAAAGGTACATGAAGAAGGTTGTTGAGGTGAAAGACATCATTATTAGAAGGAGAAGACAAAAAGGAGATTTCAGTGTGTAAAACTTTCAAACTTGTTCCATTGCCAACTTTGACTCTATTTTCACTAGAATATTATGAACCAGTAGCAAGATTATTAACGTTGTTTGTAACATGATTTGTGGCCCTCTGGATACTAGTTGGTATTAGTATTGAGATCATTTGATAACATCATGGCTACCATATTATTCCCAAGGGCAAAAGAAAAATTTGATGGCTGGGTAGAATTGCCATGGTGAGGCATTTGTTCACCAACAACTTGATAAGAATGTTCAAAATGGAAATAACATCTCCAAGATGTGTGATCGAATTTGCCACAGATTTGACATTGAGGCTTGCTATTACTATTCCAATTTTTACGGAACTTACATTATTAAAGTTGTCTCGCCCCTGGTTGTTATTTCGTTGGAGAACTCCATTAGAATTGGATTTTTTTTTATTTATTTTGAGATTCAACTACAAGATTAACTAAGGGAGTACTACCCTAAGGATTTATTGAATTTTTGTTCTTCCTGCTTTCTTGAGTCAACAACAAAGAATATACTTCTTGTAAAGTCAAAGGACGTGATTTAACACTGATAACAGAAACCTATCAAATTCAGCCACAAACCAGCAAGAATATGCATAATATGATAATTTTTGAAGATCTTTTGACCCACTGCTGTAAAAGAATTTCAGAATTTCACTGTTAAAGAATCAATGAGATTCTTAACCTTGGAAAAATAATATTTCAAGCTAAGTCCTCTTTTCTTTTGATTTCTAACTTGGATTATAATTCCATGATTTTAGCTAAGCTTATAGATGCAAATAGATATTATCAAGAATGGCCCAAACCTTTTTTGCCGAATTATAATCAATCATCTCACCAAGAATGTCTTCATTTATCGATCCAAAGAGCCAAGATGTGATGATTTTGTCGTGCCGCTTCCAAGTTAGAAATTTTGAATTTTCTATTTTGGTGGTCGATTGAGTTTCTCCTGAACCCATTTTTGTTTCAATGAATGCTGGTGGCATCAGGATCAATGGGTTTCTCCATGCCATATCCCTCTAAAGCAGTACGAATTTGTAGCTTCCACAAAAGAAAATTTCCATCTTTGATTTTTACAGTCTTGAAGTGATTGTCTGAGTGATCAGATTTTGTAGTACTAGTTCAGAGAATTCTTCAGTAAAATGAGTTATTGTAGTTGTTCAAAGTAGGACTTTGTCGCAAGATTAAGGCTGTGATACCATCATAAAATTCTGTAACTGATCAAATAAAATAAACAACTAATTTCCTTATTCAATGATACTAATAAAAAATAATAAGGTTACTAAGAAACCCTATTGCTAAAACTAGACACTAACGGAAAAATAACGGTTCAACTAAAGCTTAACAAAAAAAAAAATAATAATTCCAACTAAAGCTCAACAAAAGTAAAGAACAATTTCTGCTACAAATGCATTAATTTATAATAATAAAAATAAAGGTTCAATGATCTAACAAAAAGCACCATCAAAATATCAAGCTAGCATCATTGGTGATTCTTTTCAAACAACGACATGCATATGTTCCAGCCAATTCATCCATTATTCAAATTCCTAGTTCCTACAAATACAAGGACAATAAATCAGTATCATGAAACTATGGTAGTCATGCTCTTAACGGGGAAACCCTCATTGTGACCAATATTTCCAAAATTAGCGGAATGACTAGGAGTGGTAGATGTTATAAGCCTGAAGCACTAAAACATCACAAATCGATGAGCAGCAAACATTTCAAACTGAAAAAGGAAAGGATATGAATCTCTAGCAAAGTGAAACACACATTAATAAGGTAAAATTGGCTGAATGTGGTATTTAATTTGATAGTTATAAGTCTTTTAATTTCATGGTCTTTTCATATTTTTTGTCGGTTATGTGTCTTTTCGTTTTCTTCAGAGTTACACGTCTTTTCATTTAAATGTCCTTTAATTTCTAGTAAGGCCCTTTCATTTGCTTGAGAACTTTTCATATGATTGGCTAAGTGACTCTATAAATGCATGTTTGTGGCCTTTGTAAAATGAGAATATAGAATTTAGGTGTAATGAAATGAGCATTACAGTCCTTCTCTTAGCCAAGAGCTCATGTATTTTGCAATCTCGTGATAACTTACATGTTAGGATCATTCAAGTGGTGTTGATCATATCTCCTGTGGAGTGATTCGAATATGAATTTAGAAACAAGTTTTATCTACTCTTGATATATTGATAATCAAGATAATTTGTACTTAAAATTTTCCTTAGGTTGATTCCATAATTGTTGTTGGGGTTTTTGGGATTTGAGGCAGCACTAAAAATAAAAGTCGAAGTAAGTTAATAGAGTTGTTACATGAATACTATAACGTGTTTGCTTGGCCTTATCAAGATATATCAAAACTAGATATGAGTATAGACACACATCGTTTGCAATTAAATAATGGATGTGGACCATTCCGTCCAAAATTGAGGGAATTAAAGCCAGGTATGTAGTTAAAGATCAAAGAAGAAGTGAAAAAGCAACTTGATGCAAGTTTTCTTCATGTAAACAAATGCCTTGAGTGGGTTGCATATATCATACATGTTTCCAAGAAATATGGAAAAGTTAGGATATGTGTACATTATAGAGATTTGAATCGAGCAAGTTGTAAAGACAATATTCCTTTACCACATATTGACGTTTTGGTTATAACATGATTGGGTTTTCAACATTTTTCCTTTATGGATGGTTTTGTTGGATACAACCAAATTAAGTTGCACCTGAGGATCAAAAAAATATAACTTTTAGTACATTGTGGGGAACATTTTGATATAAGGTCATGCCTTTCGGTTTAAAAAAAACGTTGGGGCAACATATCACAGGGCCATGATTTCATTATTTATTAACTTGATGCATAAAGAAATTGATGTACATGTCGACGATATAATTGCAAAGTCGCCCTGGAGAAGAGCATGTTAGCATATTACACAAGTTGTTTGAACGTTTGAGAAAGTCCCAACTTAAGTTGAATCCATCAAAATGCATTTTTGGAGATTGTTTTGGAAAATTGTTAGGCTTTATTGTGAGTCCATAAACAATCAAGGTGGACTCAAACAAAGTCAAAGCTATAGTTGAAACAAAACCTCCTAAAATTTAAAAAAAAAAAAGGTTAGGAGCTTCCTCAGAATATTAAATTATATAGTGTTAACGATTTTAACAACTCTTATGCAAGGATACACA